TAATAATGACTGTACAAGTTGGAATACTATCCAAGTACATTTATTATCCTACTTTATTACAAGTGTGCGTATGCCTGATACGCCTTAACGAGTCGAATAAATAAATTAATGATTTAATTTCCATATAAAAGTCACTTAATAATTATTAAAACGTAAGAATTTACTTGGATTATTAGTGTCATCAAATTTTAAATTATTCATGGTATATTTATTGCATTTATATTCCGTTTACTATAATGACTTTATTAATTAAACTAATAAGAATTAATAAGCTTTCTCTTTCTTATTCGCGATAATTTTTCAAAGTTTTTCAAATATTAAAAATCGTTAAATTCTAATTATACTCGTGGATTGACTCATTGAAAAACAAAACAAGAACAAAAAAACAAAACAAAACAAACAAAAAAAAAACAAAGATAAAAGAGGAAAAAAACATACCGAGTAACCGTAGTTTATTAAACCGTGGAGAATCGAATGATCTTTGACGGGTTACAACGATTTGTCAAAAATCCTCCATTCGTCCTTTATTTCGCAGCTATTGTATTCTTTATCTAATTAACATAAAAACTTCGTATTCATTTTATTGCCGTTATTTGAAATTGGCCAGTTTTAATCCAATTAAACTACACGCCCTTTAATACCGATCTTACATATATTATATTTTTATTTGTTGTCGTTTATAATTTTTCATCTGTTTATTGCCTAACGATTAATGATTAATTATATGTAAATTAATTGAATGTACACTATTGAATGTGGGTAAGGAATTAATAATACTGTACAATCTTGCTGACTGACTTAAAATCACGACACTAATTATACATTAATTATACATTGTAGAAATAATCGTCTTCATACAAAACTTCTTCTTTATTTTTCCCTTTTTTTTTTTATTCTATCAACATGTATCGCGTAGTATGCTCGTCTCTCATACTTTTCATAAATAAAGAAAATTATAACAATGTTGTCCATAGAATTACGAGCGCTTACATGTTAACTATTGGAAATACACCAATGAGGATAATATAAGATGTAAATGGGAATATAAATCAGTGGAACACAAACAGCTGACAAACAATTTTCAAGTTAGTCAGTATATAAGCCACTTTACTGGTTAAATAGAGGTCCACGATAAACTGGCAGTAGGTCAGCGAATTTGCCGTTAGCTTCGAAGACTCTCTTCCTTAACGACGTCATCGCGCCACTCCACTGTTTAAGGATTTTGACGACGATATCGTTGTAGTGGCGATCATTCAAGGACCGGCAAAGAATGTCTGGAACGTTATGCCCCGATAAGCCACGAGATGGAAGAATGACAATTCTTTTCTACCCAAATTATTGGTTATCGCGTTATTATGTCCTTTGAGTAAATCTCTTGAAATAATGAAAGGCGCTTAGAGCAAGAGAGCAATTACCTCTTCGAGAATTTTTCTTTTTTTTTTTCTCTTCTCAGCCATAAAAAATGGGACGAAGATCGAGGAGATCTTGTAGTTTTGGAAACACTTGTTTTTTCTTTTTTTTTTTTTTTATGTCAATAGCATGACTTCGACAGCGAATGACTGAATGAAAAAAAATGACCTACTTTCCTCATCTTAATAACTACATTTGAAATATTCAATAATGCTTAATAATAAGATATATTCTGATTTATTTAGGCAAATAAAATGTTATTAATTGCACAAGCATTTGTTTTAATTCATAATCATTGCCACCTTTATTCGCTTGTTTCGTTTGAGTTCATTTCCTAATTATCAAATATAAAATGTACAAGAACAAAAGCTTGTGAGCGGTAGAACTAAAATTGTAATATTTTGTAATTAACAATTTTTACAATTGATTGTTTCATTTTTATTTCCCGATATTGTATTTGAGAAATAATTAATATATAGCTATATTTGTATTATCGTTTCGATGATTTAGGATTTTCTTAAGAGAAAAAATTGCAATTGCCGTTTATTAACCTACAATTTCTTACTTACTGTTACTCTCATGTTTTCTATAATGGACAATTGGAAGATATGTAATAAACAATAACAGGGCCATCCTTTAATGAATTGAACAAGTCGTAACACAATAATTATATATATACAAGTGCTTTATTACGCAATTTTTACGTTCCTGTCACTATATTACACTATATTGCCTCCGCATACTTTTGTGAGTAATATAAGGTAACCGATGCATTCGGTAAATAATAAAGTCAATAACCTACAATTCATTATATAGACCGTAAATGATAATTATAATGATCCAAAGACGTATACTCTTGTTTTAACGGTACAGTGTCTAATACTTTTTTCCTTCGCAAGAAACTATCATAAAATAAAATGATTTTCATTTAAAGAATGTCCTTGTATGCAATTGAAAATTAAAGATTTTTTAATTTTTAAAATGTAAAAATACTAGTTTGAATTACTTGATTGATAATAGATATTGCAACAAAAAAATCATGAATTAGCGACAATCGATATGATTTTCTAAACATTAACAGCTAACAACATAAACTCCGAGAAATTAAACAAAATAAAACTATCCGATGGCGATTGTTTTGCAAAAATCTCATTAATTATTTATCTTTATAAATACAGTGAATATATTATTATTTAATTCACTTATCATCGTAATTTATTATGAGATGGAACATTAATTCTATAATATACCCAAAGCCATACGTACAAACTTTATATTTATTAGTACTTTTATATAATTAAAATAACATTTAATTGACACACTAACATGACATATACAATTTTAAAGAGGATTAGTACATGGATATTGATTATGATGATTTGGGTAGAAAAAAATTTGATAAAATAATAATTCCACATTGTGCACTGAATATAGTTTATTGTTATATATGGAATAATGCAGTACTTATACTCGTGTACCACAACAAATCGTGGCACAAACATACTTCTGTTAAAGTATACATAATTATATTAATAATTACAATAATGACTGAAATTAAATTACACAAAAATACAATAAAATTATGTTAGTGATACATTGATTGGCGAAAAAAAAAGTTACATTACGAAGCCAATTGTGTGAGTGAAAATTTTATTCCTTTTATTAATTACCTTAATTAATTTTCACCATACAACTATATATTATTTACGTAAAACAGTATATGTTACATGTAAAAATGCAAGTAAAAACGACTGGGCGTTATTATTGCTCCAATTTTGACTAGTACGCACGTAACATCATAAATCACCGCCAAAAACATTGTGTATAGCTAAAAGTAATTTCATTGATATAGTAAAAGAACTATAATCAGTATAGGGATAATGGCAATGATTCCAAAAGCGTTAAAAAAAAAAAAAAAAAAAAAAAAAAAAAAAAAAATATTAAAAGAAATCAAAATAATGACGATGCGTACGCTTGAACAGCAAAAGTGTCGAATGTATATTCTCGTACCTACATTTACTCATTAACTGCAAATGGTAATTTCTTAACATTTTCATATTTTTTTTTTTTTTTTTTTTTTTTCTGTTGAGATTCGTATTTATGATTTTATTTCTTAATTTTTTTTCTTTTATCTCGTGAAAACAAATTTCGAGGACTCTAGGTTAATGTTGTAATAGGATTGGAAATCCAATAATGGCAAGAATCTAGGGGTATCATCTCGTAATATTTGTCTGTTACGCTGATGATGCTCGTTCTATTAAAGATGTTCATAATTTTCATTTCAGTTGGTTTCAGAAATATGGTCGACAGCATTCACCTATATAACAACTTGCAACTGGCTCTATTGTTTACGCAACGGTTTCATCTGTTTTTCTTTATTTAATTATTCAAGAGAAAGACCGTCAATAAGAGAATCTTAAGTAAATATGTAAATTGAAGTTTTAATTTCAAAAAAAAAAAAAAAAAAAAAAAAAAAAAAAAAAAAAAAAAAAAAAAAAACATATATATATAAATCTTAATTTATGACTAAGAAATTGATTTTTCAAAATTATTGTATGATAAATTACTTAATTTTTATAATCTATAAATGTAAATATATTACTTTTAAGGCACAACTTAAATCGTTTATTTTACATTGTTTGTTTTTTTTTCACACTAAAGACTATTTGTTTTTATATTAAGTATTTTACAAATTAAGTTAAAAAGCAACATTTCTTATTATATTGTGAAATTATTTAGTAAAATCTTTCAAATGGCTAATCATCCCCATTTGCCTACAACATATCATATCGCCTAATTATTAATTAAACGCTCCACCATAAATCTCAATCCCTTTAATATTATCCAATCCACGGTTTTAGGCGCTACCTTACCACATAAGGCGTGAATGTTATATACACATATAAACATTTCTCTCTGCTCACAAAATTGACAAAGCAATACGACAATATTACCATATCAATAATTTTATATTTGCATATAGTAATTCGTAATGAACAAGGCTTGCAACGATTAACGTAATTTCTCTCACATTCTTCATAGATTTTTCACTATTTTAACTATAGTACACAAACGTTTGCGATTAAATATTATAAATCACGCGTGTATTGCGCACACTAATTGCGTGCACAGCGAGTTAATCGTTAGATGGAGGATTTTTTGTGTCTTATTAAGTCGTTGTTATTATTGGCGCTAAAACTGCAACACGTAGAGCACAATTTTTTCTCTTTAATTTTCATTTGAAAATAACCTTGCACTTCTCGTCTCTCCTATCATGTATATTTTCACAATAATTAATTGACAATAATCTAGCGTGAATTTATGTAAAATTTATAAAATGTAGTCGGTGACCAGCTGAACCAACAATTATGATAAAACGTAGATTGCGTAGATGCATGCATCACTAGATGAGAATGTGCCCTCTCATTAACACAATTATCAATCGGCAACTAGGATTAACATTATTTATGCGTTACGGGGTATTATTAAAGGTTTCTTTTCTCGTTCGTCTCGTTCGTCCATGATTCCTCTTTTTTCCTAAACTAGACGCGTCTGGATAATCGTAACCAAGGAATTCATCGTAGGTCCATAGCATCGCACTCAAACGATATTGGCCTTCACGTGCGCATTTCCCATCATAACTTTGTTGACAAAGTTGACGATAGCCGTGGCCGGCTGCTCCGGCTCGAGTTCAGCGAATATGTGACATTGGTTGTCGGATTTGTGAGCTGGTTTACGTGCGACGAATCCAAAGCATCGACTGCAAATTTAAATATATGCAAAAAGTTTAATGTCTGCGGTTATAAATTCATAGATTAGTTGCATACATTTTCAGCCTCTCATAATCATGTTGATTTCCATTCGATTAATTGTTGGCATGCGTTGTTATTAATTCATCATAATCTGATCAAAAGCATCGATATGGTTGGAGATTTGATAAATATTATTTATAATGATAATATCGTATTGGAAAGTGGGAAAAAATCGTTAAATTTACAACTTTAAGTGCAGGCGATGAAGCGACAGAGTAATTAATTGACAGACACCTCTCGACGAGGCTAAACATCAACTGCCATCTGATTAATAAGCGCACGGAGATTTTGAAATGGAATTTTGAAAATTTCAATTCGCTCAAGCGACAAATAATCGAGAATAGACGATTGATCGTGACATCTGCCGATAGTTAAAAATTGCCCAAAAAAAAAAAAAAAAAAAAAGTGATAAAAACGTACTGCTCGCTGAGAGCTCGACCGGTCTCCTCGTTCAGAAAGTCCCAGGTGCGTTCCTCGGTGTCGAGGCCGCAGTAGCTGATGTTGTTGGTCGGATAGTGTCTGCGGAAGAAAAGTTTACGCGCGTTATCGGTGAGGGTGATGCCTTGGGTCGACACCTTGAAGTGGACGATTATCGCGCCGGGCAGCGGCTTCTGCTCGTACAGCATCGTTATCGTCTTCTTGATGGCTTGGGGTCCGGTCAATGACTCCGTGTCCAGGGTAAACAAGTATAGCACGTTGCAGGCTGAAAAGTAGGAAAGCGTCGAGAAGAATTAGTATACGCTGGGCTTACTAGACGTGCCTCGTCGCGCCTACCGATTTGGAATCGGCAGGCTCGGAACGACGATTTCTCTCGTAATAATGGCATTCGAGCCATTGAACTCACCGGCGCCCTGAGCGAGGAGTTGCTGGGGGCTGCTGTTGGCCGGAGCGTCGAGCGCCCTGGCGGCTGCCTCGGCCTCGGGGAGCAGGAGCTGGCAGGGCAGGGCCATGGCCATGAGACTGTGTTGGTAGACGAGGGCCGAGAGGGAGCTGAAGACGGGCTCGTTAGCGCAGCCCTTGAGTCGCACGCCCCGTGAGGTCGGCTCAATAAGGAAGTGGCGCACGAGCTCGCTGGATGGATCCTTGGGACTGCTGGGGGCACCGGGAGGCGGTGTTGCCACCTTAAGGGCAAGTCCGAAGGCACCCGGGAAGGAGTTGCTGTCGCGGACGACGAATGTGCCCGGGGAAGCGTCGCGTAACATGGCGATCGCTATAAATTCAGGCGGGACGATGTAAGTTTTTCCGGACGATGGATTTTCACTTTTCCACGAGCTCGCGTCGGCATTTGTAAATTTCGCATAAGCTCACGTTTGTTCCGATGACAATTATTTTCAATCAATCTTTTCGAAATTGAATCGCTTACACTTTCTAACACACGTACACAAGATATTTTATATAAATATACAAGATGTATAGTTTTAAAATTGACAAACTTTAATTAATTACAAATAAAATACCAATATACTATAATAATAATAATAATAATAATAATAATAATAATAATAATTATTATTATTATTATTATTATTATTATTATTATTATTATAGTATATTGGTATTTTATTTGTAATTAATTAAATTCAATCGATTAATCGATTTAATTACGCGACAATAGACTATTAAATTATATTATAGTCTATAAAATATTAAACCATCAGATAATCTTGTTCGATAATGATAGCTGGAATTTCATATTCGAAATTTTTATACAGACTATTTTTATTAGACTTTCATATCCTAACCAGAGATACTTTAATATTATAAAAAAAAAAAAGAAAAAACTTTCAATACTCGAGCGTTTAACATCTCTATAAAAGAAATGCATTAATCATAAAAAAATACTACCATTAATATATCAATTGTTTATAATCTAATGTAAAGTTTAAGTGAGAATATTTCCTATTAAATTTGATATGATTTGTGTGTAGGTACACCGTTCGTTTTCATATTCGAGAATTTACACATTCACGTATTATTAATTTGTATCTCCTAGGACATCTGAAGTACGTAGAGCCGGACTTAATTTTGGATTTATAAATTGTTTTGGAATATTATTAGTTAGGATAGAAAAATCACAGTATATATACATATATATATATATATATATATATATATGTGCGTGTGCGTGTGCGCGTGCGTGTGCGCGTGCGTGTGTTATTCCAAATAATAATAATAGTGCGAGGGATTTGTACGAACCTTGCTCGCGCGAAATGTTTGGCTTGTACCAAATTTTGCTGGTATCTCGAACGAATTTAACATTGGCATCGGCTACTTCGTGTGGTTCTGTATTAGAGTGAATACTTGATCGTCGAGATCCGTAATACTGTGTTTGCGTCGGTGCTTGACCAGAACTATTAATTGAAGTATAGGATAATGCACTCTAAAACAGACATCGATACATTAGTCAATAATTTGTAAAATTATTGCATTAGTGGAAAGGAGAAATCGATGTGAAATTTATTTCTTATTGATAAATTTCCCATATAGTTGAAATGGAAAGGATTTTTCCTATCGAAATATTGAGAAACAAACAAAAATAGAGAGAAATCTACAGTCAATTGTGGTTTCTTTTTTTTTTTTGTTTTTTTGCTTTGTTTCCTTCTTCTGTTTCTATTTAGAGTTTATTAAAAGTCGTATTAAAATGAATATGTATGAAATATTTAAGTATATTTGATTATTCAGTTTAGTTAATACATGAAATATAGTAATACATTTATTTAAAAGTTTATGTGTAATTTAAAAAGAAGGAGGATTCAATTTTTTGTTTATACGCACTCGCGACACGCGTACGTAGTATAGTACTACATTTAAAAGAAAATATATATATATATATATATATATATATATATATTAGTTTTTTATGAATTGTATTGTAAATATCTATAAAGTAAAGTATTTGCGACAAATTCTACACAAATTTACACAAGCCACTTATTAAATTATTCCCCCGACATCCACGTTAACAAATTACTTTCGTTCGTACTGCTTATGTATAAAGAAATAAGTTGCTAGATTTTAATTGCCATGAAATTAATAAATACTAATGAATCTAAATGTACCTTTGGGCTCTGTCCATATTCGATCAGAGTAGGAGTGCCAGGACCTCGGTTATACGAGTTGAGACTTATCAATTCATCCAGAGGAGAGACAGGCCGGTCCTTGCTGCAATGCAAAACTCTCATTTAGCCTTAAAGTACGAGCAATTTTTCATACGATTTTCAAGTCGTGCCATGTAAGTACATTTAATGTCTAGCATAATCGATGAGTATGCAATGAGGGATAATCAATGAAAAAAACATCGATAGAACGAGATTAAAGATAGAGAAATAGATATAATGAAAATTTTAACATATAATAACGCACTTGGTAGAAAATTGCATTGTTGGGTGATAAAAGTGAAGAGAGGAATTTATCGTTAGGACGGAAATAATTATGATAGAAGCAGGCACGGACCTTCGCATCTTATATTTGTAAAAATGCCGACTGCGCATCATGTTTGCTATTATTATCTGTTAGTAAATGCAAGCTCACGGTCAATCAATGAGTGTTTTGAGCTTTTTAGTCAAATTAAATAAGGCAGAGCAAATGATTTTATTAGTACAAAATTTAATGGCACCTCTTTCCATCTCTCCTTCATTCGTTTTAATGATCGTAGCTGTACACCCAAAGAGTGTTGTACATCGATGACTGTAACAGTTTCGATTGACTTTGGGTGCGGTATTATAAAACGAGTGTTATGTTGAAATTAAGAGGCAAAATATTAATGAGATGTGCATTAGTCGTTTATATATTATTAATCGTTTGTTACTTCATCGTTTTGGATTACCTATAGTCGAACGATGTCGACTGCTTAGTGAGTATCCAGCGTTTGTTACGCGGTTCACTTAATGTGCCATTATCCGGAAAACTCAAGCGCCTAAACACATCGCCAATGGCAGAACAAAAAATATTGTATTATCGAAGAGATTATCAATCATTTATGTAGTACATAACTAGTAGTCAAGTATCTCCTTTCCTTTATAAACTCAAGTGAATTTATCTTTAAACGATAATGCGCTATCATCATCATCATCATCATCATCATCATCATCATCATTATCTTTTTATTCTTATTATTAATGACGTCGTATTTTTTATTCGGCCGTTATTACGTTCTTACGAAATATTAATAACAGCTTTCAGGGCGTTACTTTCGCTACTAACACGGACGTTTAATATGAAATTTAAATTATTATTTAAATGAAATATTATCGATTAGTGAGTGACATTGGATTATACGAGTAACCAAACGCAATTCTCTCGTCTCGCCGTATCGCCCTGAAAGCCTTAATATTGCAAAATACACGCAATCACTCCCGTTCACTTGGCACTAGTTTTCATATAGTTTGAATAATACATCTTTTTAGCATTAAAGAGGTATGTCGAAAATTAAGAAAAAAAAAAAATTAATAATAAAAATACAAACAATAAATTAATCAGCATTAAAATGCATTTTTAATATTTTCAATTACTTAGCTTAGGTTTGGTATATTTGACTTTACGACGTAATCTTTCTAAATATTGCTAAGCAATTAGTTGGAATATCGCGAGGGCAATAAATAATGCTGCATTAGAAAATGCGACAGTCATAAAATAATCAAACTACATTATTACAAGCCTGCGAAATTAATAAATGAAAATGATAGGGAAAAAAAAAAATAAATAAAAAGGTCGATAAAAAGAAATCGCAAAACAAAGTAAAACACAACAGATGTTTAAGTGGGTGGATAGAGGATAGGTGGGAAGGTGGGAAGGTGGGAAGGTGGAGAGGTGGGGATGTGGTGATGTGGTGATGTGGTGATGTGGTGATGTGGTGATGTGGGGATGTGGGGAGGTGAGGATGTGGAGAGGTGAGGAGGTTACGTAGGAGTAGTAAAGCTAGTGAAACTCACCGCTGCGTTGTCGGACTCTTGGGTGGGAGTCCCGTCTCTCTGATATCTCGGCGCTCTTCGATGAAGATCGCCCTATCGGCTCCGTAGCTCGTGGTGCTGCTGCTGCTGCCGCTGCTGTTGTGATTATTATTATTTGCTTCTACGTTGTTCATGTTGTTATTGCTATTCATGTAGCTGACGGTCGAGTGATTCATATGATTCGACAAGAGAAGCTGTTGTTGTTGCTGCTGCTGCTGCTGCTGCTGCTGTTGTTGTTGTTGTTGTTGTTGTTGATGATGTTGTTGCTGCTGTTGCTGCTGATGGAAATGTTGCGGTGGAGGCAACGGCGTCAGTGTCGATTGTTGCTGCTGTTGCTGATAGCTACGATCCGAGGCGAAGGTTACAGTAGACGAGGCGTTGTTGACGTAGGGGGTGCGCGGGTGCACCGGGAACGCTGGTGTCTGCGGCCGCGAGGCGCTACCCCCACTCATACCCTGCACGCTTCCTGGGCTTATACTCCTCTCGGTCCACGATGACGGCGAGTCATTGTGCGACTGTAAGTGCACCGAGTAGTGTATTAGTATTGTCGAGTGTAAGTAAGACTCGCGTAATGAGCCCAGATTCCATTTCCGACCATTAATCCCTTACTCCCGTTGGCATCGACATTTAATATATTTATGATTTTTATCTATATATATATATATATATATATATGTATATAGCTTTGCAGTCATAAATCATTTTAAGACTAAAGCGATGATGCGAATAATGGATATGTATGTAAAGGAGCTTTTTATCCTTCAAACGTTCATGATCTTAATATTGAGCATATAATGTTAAGGTTTGCCGTTTTTCAATCATTGTCCATCGAATTCACAAGCACGATGAAATATGAAAAAATAGGTATTATTTAATTTTAAATTCAATGTAGAAAAGAGTTTATTAATGTAGTTAATTGTGCACGTGCACGTTACAATCAATGACAAAAATTCCGTTTTTGTTTGTTTTGTTTTTTGTATTGATTTCAAAGTCTATTAAAAATATTTTGTCCATATTGTTATTATTAGCCCCTTAGTCCTTACCTCGTCTTTCGACTATTTCGTTGAAAATATTAGAGCACCACTACATACACTTCCTCGCCGTCCTCAGCTACTCATGCGCAACTTTAATTAGTGGGAAATATGCTCGGATGTCCAAATTTCCGAATGCTGTTCGCATTGTTTATTTTCAAATACATTAGTTATCATAGACGGAAGGCTAACACTCTTCCGTCTACGGGTCAAAAAGCCCTTGCCAGCATTCACGGAAGCCCCGTGAAATTTGCGCTTATTGCGCGTAATCGACAATTTGGCCGATTGATATAATCGATCGTGCGACGATTAAAAATACATCAAGTGCAAACATAAATTCACATCTAAGCGTTGAAGCGCGCATTGAACAGATTGCTAGTGGCATGGCACGCACACACACACATAAAAGCAGCCACAAGATGCACAAATGGACAATGCATATGGGACAATAGATCGGAATATATGTTAATGGACATGCAGAGTAGGGTAATCTCGGGCTCGATGACGATTATAAAGCAAAGTTAAGATGGGAAGAAGGTGTGATGTAAAAAATGAGTGATTGGTGAAAACGCGACGACTGCGCATGAGTAAACGAACCTGCGTTATACTACTCAGCCATGCTTTGGGCGAGTGGTTAAGGGCAGTTGTATATGTGTTAATGGCGTTGCTGGCAACGGTTATGATAGTAGCTGACTGCTGGTGCGTGGTAGTGTGTAGTAGAAGCGACTGTTCGGCCTTGATCGCGCCATTGTTAAAGCTGTTAGTATTGGCGAACTGCGCGGCTACTAGCGAATCCGAAAGCGGCCTAATCTCGGCTAGCGACTGAATGAGGCTCACGAGAGGGTCGGCCGAATCGGCCTGCTGATGCTGATGCTGATGCTGATGCTGTTGCTGATGGTCGACCATGACCAACAAGCCTGTAGTATCTTTCTTGGGAGGATTGCCGTGGGCGTGGTAGCCGTTGTGTTGGTGATTCCTGGATTCGGGCCTAGATGGGGGGTGCCGAGGTGAGGATGAGGCGAGACTGCCGGTACTATCGAGGTCGAAGGCCACGTGGTTGCCGTTGCTGTGGCTGCTGAGGCTGCTGTTCAGTTGACGGCTGTGGACGTCCCGGAGGAAGGATTCGGTGCGCGCGAAGCTATCGCTACGTGACTCCGGCCTCGGCGGTTGGCCGCTGATGTTGTACTTTTGCAACGGCGGGCTCTGCAACCGCAAGCCAAGCTCTTTCTCTCTCAGTCCATGCTCACGAGCCTCCGTCGACTCCTCGCTCTCACTCTCTCTTTCTCTCTCTCTCTCTCTCTCTCTCTCTCTCTCTCTCTATATATATATATATATATATACAAACCTCTCTTTCTCCCCTTAGAACCCCAGCCCTCTAGATATCGCTTGCGATTCTTATAATTACGTTACTTGCGCCAATAATCGATTTTACGTCAAGTCAAAGAGCCATGCAAATGCAGATTTTAAGGTGGAATTCTGTGAAGACGCATGGAATGCATATTTTTGTCAATACGATATGCGGGCTAAATATCATGTTACGGTCAAGTTATTGGATATTTCTACGTGACTTGCGTGGCTCCACTCTCACCTTCAAGTCTACTTTTACATGACCATTCTTAAATCCATGGCATTAAGTACAAAAGCAAAATTAAAAAATGCGTTAAAAAACTTATAGCTAAGAACGAAACGTTCAATTTGCAAGATACAACTAGAAAAACAAAATCACAGGCTACGATTATAATATTTGCATTAAATTTGACCATTAGTATTGGACGTTAATTGTACGTATAATGACCAGTCACTCGGGCTATAACAAAAGTAATTCCAACCCTCTCTCTCTCTCTCTTTCTCTCTCTGCACACGCACTTGTTCGCGCGCACACGCATATATATATATATTTATATGCATGTGAGTGCGCATGTAAGTATGAAAGTATGTAAGTATGTACGTATGTACGTATGTACGTGTGTGTGTGTGTGTGGGTAAAAATGTAAAGCTAAAGAGAGAGAGAGAGAGAGAGAGAGAGAGAGAGATATGGCATATTTGTATAGAGACATACGTAGAGGTGTTATCATCGAAGGTGCAAAACGTTAGTTAAATAAAGCTTTGGTGGCCGGTGCTGGAAATGTTCAACACTTACGTGGCTGTCGTTGTACTTGCGGAACTCGTAGGCGCGCTTCACAGCGACAAAGGGCCGCTCGCTTACGCTTTCGGCTCGACCTCGGCTCTGCTGGAAGCTCCCGCCGCCGAGGAGGACACCACCGTTCAATTTCCGACTGACCGATCGCTGGGGCAGCAACGGACTCGCCGGCGCCGACGTGTTCACCGTCGCTTTGCTGCTTATCTGTACACGAGGAAGGAATGCGCGATGCGAGGTTTTTAAAAAGTGGGCGAGCAGTAATGGTATGACGAAGCGATTTTCAAAATGCACTCCGCGGATTTGCAATTGCCAGCTGGCTATGGTCGCTCACTCTCACTCGTCGCTTTTACGACAATATACTTTATAAAACCCCCCTATATATATATATATATATATATATAATTGTCGTGCTCGTCATATTCGCGAAAAGGAAGAACACGCCAAGTACTCGGTATTTGCCGTGCTTGCAAAATCATGAAAATTGATAAACGACTAGCCGGGGCATTTGTTATGCAAACGATTATAAAATCATTGCCAAAAAGCAGTTACTTCTACGGGGTTTTGTAGATTATTATGTTAATTTGCAAAACAAGGGCTTAAGTACCTGCCCGTGTGCGGAATTAACTGTCCAGACGTCGTCCTCGTCATCGAGCACGGCGGAATCGCTGGCGTATCCGTCGTGCCTCAGTCTCGATCTTTGAACGCTCTTCAACTCACCGATCATACGGTTTCCGCTTTCTTGGCGCCACAATTTCGTCGGACTTCGTTCGTCGCGACGCGCTGCGAGTTTCAGCTGCTGCTGCTTCAGCCAGGACATGCTTCTGGAGGGCAAAGAGCAATGAGATTTTATTGAATCCCGCCTCACCTCACCATCCCTCTTAGTGTCCCCGGATATTAATACACGCTCATCCGGTTCATGTTCCAAGAGCGCGTATTGCGAGTGAATAACGCGTGGAATCTTATGGGAGTGTGGAGGTGTAGAAGAGATTCCGTCAATGTGACTGACGACCCCGAATTCACGGATGAATAAGTCTAATTAGATATTAAGTGAGTATGTCGATATTGCTTGGCAATTGCGATTCTATATGGCTTTATAGAAGTGCGTTTGTTCGTTCGTTTTGTTCTTTCTGTTCATTTACGATTTAATGAAGTAAATTTTAAGTGGCAATGAAGGTAGTTTCCATTTCATTAGGTTCAAACGGATAAAACAGCAGAGTGCACACGCTGTCAGTAAATTTATCAGGAGCATCTTACATTAGTGATTTAACACACAAAAAAAGAAAGAGAAAAACAGAATAAAATTGTTCTTTTATACATGACTGTTGAACGTTGTGATATTTGTCTTCCGATTTTCATTTTTTCTTTTTCACAACAATTTAATTATTCACATTCTCAGACCTACTTCAATTTTGTTTTTTTTTTTCGTGCAATTTAATTTTGTATATACAAATGTTTTAACGTGTTCCTACATTGTTCTTCTTCTTCTTCTTCTTCTTCTTCTTCTTTTACTTTTTCTTAAAACCTTTTTTCCATTCGTCGCTTTGCGTACAGCCACATTTTAATTTTAACGCATAACTACAAGTTTTTAGTATACATATAAATTTTGTCTTCTCTTGATATTAATGAAGTCTACTGGCAAATAATAATCCAATAATAATCCAATAATATACAATTATGTTCATTTACCGCGATATTTAATGTAAATCTCGTTGCAGAGTTTATAATAAAAAGCCATTTCAAACGTATAAAAATCTATGAAATAGATCCCTCGAGGGAGAAGTAATTCCATTTAACCAGAGATTATTAAGTGGGCGGGAAAGGTAGACGACAGTCAAACGGAAAATTATTCGCACGCAAATTGCAATTTGTTAAAGATAATGTATTTGTATTTAGCTAATCTATAGAACGTGCAAATACAATGTAATGATGTTAAAGCTTCGAGCAGAGATATCGATATTGCGTATTTCCAAGTATAGGATAAATAATATTTATGGTATTAATCAGCATTATAATCTTTTTTGTTTTTTATCTGTTTTTTTTACTGTAGAGTATAGTTAATATACAACAATATAATAACAAGGACCAAAAGCATATAACGATGAGATAAGAGATAAGATTTAATTTTACTATAAAAAGATCATTGATAGTTGGAGTATAATTTATTATCTAATTTTTCGAAATATCGAATAGAGTAAGAGATTAACCGATTATCGACGAAACTTAAAAAATTCTTGATGATATTTGACAAAGTTGTATTTATTTTAAACATAATAGAGACATGAAGAATGCGTGCAAGAATTAAAGCCTTTCAGCCAATTTGTATAATTGATAGTCAAATTCAATTAAGTGGTCAATAAAGTAAAAAGTGGTTAATCTTATGATAAGTTGAGCTTGTATTACGTAATAAATGATGGTGGCAGTTTTACGTAAATAAATTTGCATTCGATCTATAAATATTTCATTTTAATAATCCTTTGGCATTTAAATAATTCTAAATATTAGATTTGCAAACATATATATATATATATATATATATATATTAGAAATTCCAAGTCGAGAGATATTAAGGATTAATAATTTTATATAATTAATAATTGACCAAATTTTATATTTCTATATATAAAATATTGTATTTTGTAATGAAATTAAAAGTTTATATAAACATGTTTTTGAAATATTGTTTACTTGCCACCATTTCAATTCTAATTCTATTCAAATTATTTCAATCTATTAATATACAATGCTATTGATATATTTCATTACAATCACGTATTTCAGCGATAAAGATAAATTACAAGTTTTTGTATACACGGTGTAAGTATTTCACTTCTAACGAAATCTATGCAAAACCCTCCAAAGAACAATAACTATTTTTAATTTGCGAACAGTTTTGCATGGTAATCGTACCATTGTTATTTTACACAAGAGACTTCTAAATGTGAATAACAAACTGGTTTCATAGAAATTGAAGAGCAATGCCTAACGACTTCCGCATGGACTCTGTTTTTTTTTTATTCACTCTCTCTCTCTCTCTCTCTCTCTCTCTCTCTCTTTATCTCAAATTTCCGGTTAAATGTGGGAAGAAATGATCGCAACGACCGTTGGTGAAAGTATAAGTGCATGTGCAACAACGAAAAGCAAAGCAAATTTGTGTGCATTACATCCTCCTCCAATTCTCTCTCACGCGCACACGCATACCGCATATACGTACACCCGCGCTCCATTCCACTCCCTCGAAAACTCAATTCTCTCTCCGTTTCTTTCTTTTCCTGCACGACTACGGTACTATACACCATGGCCGATTTAGCGTATCTCGCCTGCGTTCTATATTTATATAATTATGTCAGAGGGCAAGTCTAAAGCTCGAAATAGCGTGCAGAGAGCGTTTCTTTCTTTACTCGCGAGGCAATTTATTATGTACGATATTTATTTCTACTCTCTGTTTCCATCAACAACATGAAATCTAACTATTTACGTACGGCAACTGTGATCCGTCAGTGGTAATCGATTGCATTTAATTTCATAAATACATAAATGTAAAGTGCCGCAGTTTAAAATACTTTGCAATATTTCATTCGCATTTTATCGTAGTAGTTGGATTAATTTATATCGACGGATCATCGGGCGTGCAACGCACTTATTTAACTGAAAATTACGAATACTTGGTATTGTTATGGGACGTTATAATAATAACGGTTCTCAAGAAGCTTCAATAAGCCATGAAAATATTCGTAAATTCGCAAGCTCAATAAATTTCTATTAACGTTGTAATGATTAAAAAATTGTGGCAATTATTGCTAAAATAGAAATTTATTAAAATTATTCGGTGCATTATCTTTATAAATGTTTCGAAAATTTTCATAAAAATCCTTCATAAAAACAAAGATATTATTATTTGTTAATATTTTGTGAAAGCTTAAGAATGCGAAAAAAAAAAAAAAAACAAAATAAAAAAAATAATCACCTGTCGATTATTTCCATTGTTATTCTTGTCTTATATTGTTTGTGTTTTAATAAATTTTCATTAAAGTGAATAAATATTTGTTTAAATTAAACAACTTTATCTTGTTGAAATTCATAAGATATAATGAAATCTAAAATGGGTAACGAGACTTGGCACTATAAGAAACCCTACGCGCTCCTTCTATAAAATAACCCCCAGAAGATTTTAATAGTAATCAGTTATAGTTCTACACATCAGCGAGTGTGCATATTTAACGAGAGGATAATCACTGACGACATATTAATATAATTGAGCTTAGAAATTAAACAACGTGACTATGAGCGATTGACACAACAATCAATCGAAATAGGACCTACAACAAAGATAGCTCAAATTAGCCAAAACAAAAGTACAGAAATTATTCGTTTCTATATTAATATTCAGCCACTCGAGGGAGAAAGCAATGTCTTAGAGCAACATTGTTACTTAGTTATAAAAATAAACTTCGAGAGATGTGTTTTGACGAATGAATTACATATTAAAGTACATAATAGAGAAGCCATATAGATAAAATTATAAAGCCATTGCCATTAGAATCTTTAGAGTTTCACTGCAATTGACATCATGAAATATTTCATCTATAAGAACATATTTATTATTGATGTAATTATAAAGTGCTATTGGTCACACATTGAGGCTTTTGGAAGGAGTGAGAACGAGACAAATGTCATGCTTAGTAAGTAATTAATGCGTCTGGAAATTAATAATTAATAATTGTCTCGAAAATGAGCGTACAATTTATCACGAGTAGATTATCTATTTTGAATGGGACGGCTATGTCATTTATACTTATAGGACCACATATCTTAACAAAAGCAGTTTAACATTTGACTGAAATCATTATAAGAGATGTACAAGTTATTGTTTTCGCTTTGCACGGTTGCATCGATGCGGACAGGCAAACGAGCAAAAAAGTCTATATTCAAGTCTATATTTTTGCGATCGACGGTGTCTTCTTGGTCGGCGTTTTTTATAATTTACATAAATGTCGTAACTCGAGTTTGTAAATAAATGTGTATATATATATATATATATATATATATATACATACAATTTATTAATTGAATCTTTTTGAAAGTATAGCAAGAACAACTTTGCAATTTTCTTCTGAATCCGTCTTTCTTTCAAGCTCTTATTTAACTTTTTTTTTCTTCATCTAAATAGATAGAATTATTTTGTAAGATACCAGTTTTTGCACAATCACCTTGTCGCAGAGACTATTAGAATTAGAACGTAAGAGGACTTTTTATCGATTTTCTTAGCTTTGCTCATTAAGCAGGTTTAACCCATTGCAACGTTTATTAGCCCAAGTAAACAAAATTAGAGTGAGACAGACAGACAGATAGATAGATGGATAGATAGATAGATAGATAGATAGAGAGAGAGATAGAGAGAGAGAGAGAGAGAGAGAGAGAGAAAGAGATTAAAATAATGCGCGCGTTCGTTGTTGTCAATGGGAAAAATCAAAATTACCATAATGGCTGGTATATACGGTTGATAAACATTTATTCTCAAACAATAGTACCTAGAGCCTATGGGCATAAACTTTCCCGGACGAATAGACGCATCGCGCATGCTCGCGTGGCCAAATAAGCTTATTACGAAAATACGTGGCAAATTTTTGGTGCGCCTTTGTGTGGCGTGAGCATGTAAAGTGAGAGCAACGGTAAAAGAAAAGCGTATAGTAGTAGTAGTAGTAGCGAAGCGCCGATACGATCGCTACTTAAGCCAATGGAGACAAAGCTTACCCGTTAGTGGCCTCGTTGTCGGAAGGTTTAATACTCGGCCCATTGGCAAACTCCGGCGGTGGATCGGGCGTATTAGGAGTTAATGGGCTGCTCGGTCTTCTGCTCCCGTTCTCCCCTAGAATGTCGTCGAGATCGACAACGGGCGCGGCGCCTCTCGCTGTCGCCTTCCTGACCAGCGAGGGCGAGGAGAGCTTTTGGTGCTTGATCATTTCGTTGGTGGCCCCGTAAGAGAAGGGCTGACTCGTTTGCCGGGCGTGATACGGGATGTCCTCGTCGATGTAGTCGATGTTACCTGGTGGGGAGAACGAGGAGTCGTTGTGCTTCCCATCGGAAGAATTGCGCTGATAGTCGACGGAATCGTAGGACGGCCGACCGTTGTATTTGAGGGTGCTGCAGTTGCTGCTCGAGTTGTATGGCGGACTGGACTCCTTGGCGGTGCTATTGCTGTAGCTCCGATAGGAATCCTTGAGCGTGGAGTAGGCCGAGGAGCCGCTGGGTTGGCTATTGTAATTGCGAGGCTGCTCTTGGACGTACATGTTGGACGAGCCGTTGCGCATCGGCCGATTGTAGTCGTCGTTCGGAGGATCCGGCATCGACTGTAGCGCAAATTACTCTGTCACTTTTAAGTTACATAACATCGCTTACGTATACTTTGTCGGACTGTTTGTTTTTCGTTTTTCGTTTTTTTTTTGTTTTTCGTTTTTTTTTTGTTTTTTGTTTTTGTTTTGTTGCTTATGGTTGGTTTTCATTAAAACGGCCCAGTCTGACGGTCCATTTAACGTAACAACGTATGCCGTTTTGAACAAAAAAAAGTTAATTGTAAAGCTCTAGTGGTTGACATTAAAGAAATTTAGTTAAAATTATTCGGCAGAAAAGGGTCGAGCGCTACTCGCCCACCTTTAATCTAACCGTCGTGTCTTTAAATATAATTATTAATCGGTGTCCTGCTATGGCAAAGCCGCCAACAGGATTCTTCAAAGTCATCACCAATTCATTCACAGAATTCCAATGACACCATTAATATCACATTTTTCATCAATTTCAGTTGAATTACAATGGCCATAGGATGGGACAAATAATTATGAGATTAAGAGCTCCTGCCTAACTCGAGTAAGTAACTCCAACATACAAAATTATCATCGAGTGAAAACATGTATTTGCATCTATTATTAACGATTCATCCACCTTTCATTAATAATGCGTATAATCGGTGCAAGCCTCCTTATACTCATCAACGTAAAAAAAAAAAAAAATAAATAAATAAAAAAAAGAAGAAAAAAAAATAATAATAATAATAAAAATATCAGTAGCAATTGCGCGTGAGTAGAAGGGAGAGAAGGGAAACGGTTGACTGAGACGAGATCCCGAGTGGGCCCGAACATCGAGGCCGAGCTCTGAAAATGGTAAATCTGGGACGTACAGTCAATTGTCGTACTAACCTCGACGGTGAGCATCATATCGTGGAGGAGCTTGTCGAGGTCACCGTGCGCCTGATTCTCGGCTTCGTTCAACTCTGGTGGACTCTGTCTCTGGGGCGGTGCGCTACTGATGCCGCTGTCCATAGATACGGTCAGTGGTGAGCCACGTGCCCCGGGACCTTGGCCCCCGCCGGCCTGCTGTACCACCGCGTACAGCGATCCATCGATGGGGCCGCAGGTATATCCAAGCCCGCGCAGCGACGTCTGCACCGAGGGACTCGAGGCTGGAGGCGGTGACAACGGCGTCTCACGACCTTCTACAACGAGACCAAATCGGTTCCCCTATTAATCGGCTGCTGTTGCTGCTGTTGTTGCCGCTACTACTAATTCGCGATAAATCATCGGGCCGATTAATAAAGATCGACTCGGTCATTCGAGCGTTTAAGCCCATTTGGAGCGTGGAAAGTCGGGGTGACTCGCGCCATAATCGCGCAAACCCTCCTCTACGCGCGTTACAATATCATTATTCGAGCGTATTGAAGATGGGCGGGGGCGTAAGAGTTCCATTTGGACCTCTGACATAGTTCTTAGAGTTATAATAGCCAGAGGTCTCGTTAATCAACGGTCCGCGCATAATAACGATGATTACGCTATTGTTGGTTATCGCTCCTGATAATGATAATGGAATATCTAAGATCGTCGTGAGCTTACGGTATCGTACGAGTATTGAGAGGACAGAGAAGAGGCCACGAGAGCGAGAAAAAGAAATGAAAAAAAAAAAAAAAAAAAAAAAAAAAAAAAAAATCGAAAGTAAGAAAGACGGATGAATCGAAATATCGGAAACGAGCTCGCCAACGACAAACCGTTGCTTAGAAATTGATGGCCCGGACGCTTTTCCACGACAGCGCGCACTTCTTTGTCCACCCGGACCGTATGAATAGAGTCCGCGTGGCGGCTACGAGTCCAGCTCTAGCACTGCTCCCAGGAGATTCGCTTCCGTGACTGGGAACGCCTGGATTTACGAGCCGACGACTGCTCGAATAACGCTCGAGATGCCTGCTGCGCTCGACCGGCGCCATAAAGCCATCGAGTCGAGAGAGAGAGAGAGAGAGAGAGATATAGAGAGAGAGAGAGAGAGTGAGAGAGAGAGATAGAGAGAAGAGATAGATAGATAGATAGATAGAGAGAAGAGATAGATAGATAGATAGATAGAGAGAAGAGATAGATAGATAGATAGATAGAGAGAAGAGATAGATAGATAGATAGATAGATAGAGAGAAGAGATAGATAGATAGATAGATAGATAGAGAGAAGAGATAGATAGATAGATAGATAGATAGAGAGAAGAGATAGATAGATAGATAGATAGATAGAGAGAAGAGATAGATAGATAGATAGATAGATAGAGAGAAGAGATAGATAGATAGATAGATAGATAGAGAGAAGAGATAGATAGATAGATAGATAGATAGAGAGAAGAGATAGATAGATAGATAGATAGATAGAGAGAAGAGATAGATAGATAGATAGATAGATAGAGAGAAGAGATAGATAGATAGATAGATAGATAGAGAGAAGAGATAGATAGATAGATAGATAGATAGAGAGAAGAGATAGATAGATAGATAGATAGATAGAGAGAAGAGATAGATAGATAGATAGATAGATAGAGAGAAGAGATAGATAGATAGATAGATAGATAGAGAGAAGAGATAGATAGATAGATAGATAGATAGAGAGAAGAGATAGATAGATAGATAGATAGATAGAGAGAGAGAGAGAGAGAGAGAGAGAGAGAGAGAGAGAGAGAGACGCGCGCGGCGCCTTCGACGAAAGACAAATTGATGCATTATTCGTAAATGCGCGAGTGCGAAAACGACCCAATTAGCGTGATTTGCGCTAACGTGGCTGAACGGGATGGAGGGAGAGGGCGAAGATCGTAGCTCTGAGGTTACGCAATTCGTTGCGACTTTAGGCCCAATGATATCCGAAAGCTGCGCCCAAGGCTAATTTTAACGCGAGCGGGCACTAAGCTGGAGAGAGACGGGGATAGGCGAGGCACCGGGGCGTCGAGGTATTCTCGCCGCTCGTTACACCTACGCAATGCGCTTGAAAGTTTTGTTGCACGAGCGAGGCGCGCGGACGCTCGACTATCGTATAGATCATGGATATGGATGGCTCATTGACTAGCCTCGTGTCGCGCGTTTGCATTTTCAAGATTAACTCGCTTAAATTGCTCGGCCTGATAGTAATAGTTTTGTTTCATCGATAAATTGATATCTCATTGGTAGGGGAGGATGATTGCAATTGAAAGGCGAGCATTCCAATAAATTTTTCAATCATACCCTCGACTTGTGATTGATGAAGAGACAAGATTTTTATTCATTCTCTTTCTTCCTTTTCTCATCAATATCGATGAAAAGTTTATAAATTCACGGATCTTAATAATGGCCGGACTTTTTATTATGAATTATTACGAATAATCATTATTAAATGCCGCGCTTGAATAAAGTGGCTGTCCTATGTAAGATCGAGAAGCTCGCATTGAACGAAAGTCTTTCCTTTTTATAAATATCAGCAACAAATCATTCGCTTTATTCGCTTTGGCATCTTAAAAAGGGCAAAACGCTATTCTCGAACATTCGTGCGCAATGAAAAAATGACGATATTCAGTCTTATCAGAGTGGAGAAAAGGTAGGTACGCTGGAAGGAAACTTGATTTACAACTCTCGTCGAGTTTCAGAGCATTGCGCATCGTCGTCTAAAAATCGGCGCCCAACAAAAATATACGTGCATATAAATAAACGTGCGCGCGTATATAAGCCCAGACTTGGCCGTGTCAGTGTATGTGTAGGGTAAAAAGTCAAACAAATGCGACGTAAGGGAGCAGAGAGCAAAAAGGCGTACTCACGGAGTTATCCATCGAGGCGGGGATGGTGGTATGGATGGTGGAAGGGAGGATGGCGGTGGTGGCGGCGGCGGTGGCGGTGAGGGGGATGATAGGAGGAAAGAAAAGCTTGAAAGGGGAGGAGCGCACGGCAATAAGGAAAAAATGAGGAGCGTGTACAGCACGGGGGGAGAATTCGAGGGGGCAAAGTGCGCTTCGGCAAGTGGCTGTAAAATGCATTCCCAACGGCACTTGGCGGTGCAATTGCCATCAGAGGCTCCACCGGTACGTGCATGTGTATAATAAACCTTCGTCGGTCGAACGTATCCATCCGTCTTTGCCGGGGGCCTCGTCGAGCTCGCGATCTTTATAAATGTAACCGTGCGTGCGCGCGCTGCTCTCCCGCTGCATGTATTGAAAAATTCATACGCATAAAAAGGCACTTTGTACGATGATTTTTCACCGAATCTTACTCCACGACTCAACACTAACCCTTTCATTTTCGCATAATCTTACGATCTTTCATCCATAATCTGTTACCAACTTCTTTGGGCAAATACTTTTGTCGCTAACTGAATTAACCAATATAATTTTCAAGGTTATTTCGAGAAATTAATTGTCTGATTATCACGGGAATGAGTTGCGATGATTAAAATCATCGTTGAAACTGTGCTTCGTGAGAAGGCTGATTTACGATATGGAAATTATTTCCACTTCCAAGGATGTCGATCGACCGCTTATTACTGTCATTTTCATAATTTTCCAATAGATTTTAACACATTAGCCATTGTATATTGATATGTATTGATAAGAATTATTTGAATATTTCAATTTTCTTTGCAGATTATCGGATTAATCGTCAATAGTGCATTAATAACGCGATGGTAATGTTACAATCATAATGTAATAACAATAAATATTATAATACGCTGAAAGTTAATGCACTTAGGCAAATGTCAATTACGTTATACTAATAATTCTAAACGTACATCGAATTTGTTTTTATATTTCTTGTTGTCTTGAAGCAATATTATAGGTCGTTGAATTCACTGGGTAATTAATTATTCCGAGCTAAACATAGCATAAATCATTGAACAAACGCGATAGACTAAAATTATTCGTGAAAATAAAACATAAACCTCTTTTAGTGATTAATAATTGATTGATAATAATTTTGAAGAACACTGAGGACGATCGTAGGGTAAAAAGGAATAATAAAAGTAAATTACATAATTTTAACATCACAAATGGTATAGATTAAACGCAAAAATTTCCTTTAACTCCCGTAAATATACTAATAAATTATTAAATTAGCTTGTAAAAAATAAAAATAAAAATAACAATAAAAATTGCAATATTTTTAAAACGCGTATAAATAAATTGCAAATTCATAATCGCATTACTTGCTCTCACTTGCAAGTATTCTTAAACTATTTAAGATGAAATAAATTTGATGTATTTGTAAATTAGCGTAATTTGAGAATATGAAATGACGCGATTAGCGTGTCATTGTTCCCTGTCCTCCCAATTTATTGCTATTATATCTCGTCCGATTTCTGTCTGATCCGAATGAAAATCGCGAGATCAAGTTCAGAGAAAAGTGAAACGGCCTCGTTGAGTTTTTACGAAGATCCTCATCAATTGTTGCTACTTGACCGCATGACTGAATTAAAAATAATGGCAAAGTCAAATGTCTATAATGAAGAGTGAAAATGACAGCTCGACAGCTCGATTCTCTTTAATCGGACAATTTAACGTTACGATCAGATCGAAAATTTGATAAGCCCATCTTCTAATATTATAACACTGTTTGCTAATTCATTAATTTACTGAGAGTCGCGATCACAACGAAATTTACTGAGAATAAAAGACTCGTTTGTGTAAAATTAATTTATCTTTGCACGCATACTTTTTTATTACGATGGTAAGCCTTTCGAATGTAAAATTTTTTTTAATTCCACAAACTGCCTTTAGTGGGCTTCATAATCATTTTTTGAGTCAGTGTAAAAAATTTACTTGATAGTGTGAAATACTTGGGCAAAAATTCTCTTAATTTACAAATCTTTCAATTAGCTGTAATGTCGAAGCAACTCTTTAAATATGTGTGTAAAATACACGAATACATTAACATTTGTTACATTCTGAAATGAAAATGAAATATTTGATTATTTTCATAATTTTTTTTTTTTTTTTTTTATTTTCTTTTTCTTTTTCAAACATATTATTTTCCTTATGAATGACGACATTCACAAACGAATCTAAAGTTTACATGTAACGATTTCTTTTACATAAATATTCTAAACAATATTTATTCTATTGTAATTTGATACTGTTGTATAACTATAAACATATTACTTTGAAAAAAATTTGAATATTGTTTACAAAACATACGTATTTGTTTATATTAAATATATCCAAAGTTTATTTTTC